CTTGTATGGAAAGCGTCCCAGCAGTGTCACTAACATGGAACACCAACTCCGACTTTTTGGGCAACCTTTATATTCTTTATATCAAAGAATAAATGGATAGCCTCAAAAAGTTATCGTAACAATCAATTTGTTATGAAGGAAAGTCAACACATGTGCGCTACTGTCATGAGCACAAGAAACAGGCTTGCTGGCAATGTTTATGATATTGTTAGGCATTAGATTTTAAGTGAAACAACAAATTAGTCATATTTTTGGGAGGCCTACCTCACGTGAATCTTCAACTTTGCGAAATTGAAATCTCTTCATCATTCGGCAAATCACCACTTTGGTTTCCAGTAGTGCAAAACGCATCCCGATACACTGCCGTGGTCCTGCGCCAAACGGCATCCAACTAAGCATTTGCTGTTCCGTGCGATTTGCAAACCTGAAATACCACAACAGTGATTTTCTCGTACCAGCTAATCCTCATTCTTTACAGCTTTAAATGATATATGTATACATATAGCAAGTTCTAGCACGAACACGCTGTTTTTCTGTGAGATATTCAAGTTCAGACAATAAGAAATATAAATGACATTGAGTAACCATGTCCTACACATGTCCACCCAACGCAAAGCCGCATTCGTGATAGAGATATCTAATAAAAGTTACAAAACTAGGACGTCTTGCAATGAATGAGCTACAGAACGATTTACGAAGATGACTGGAGCACAAAATGTAAGCAATTAAAAAAGTCTATGCAAAAGTTGGGCGTAAAGATGTAAAAATCGAACCTAGCAAGTTACAATTCCAGCGCTACGTCATAACGAATTTAGAAAGTGTTAAATTGGACTAGACGATGTAAAATTAAGGGGCATAGGGGAGAAGTGAAGAACAGTGGGGGAGGGGAATACTATTTATAAAATAATGTCACTTAGATCACAGGCTTGAAATTATTAGTGTTCTCCCTACTCGCTCCTCTTTTTACCATGCACTAAAAAATGCCCTAGAGGAGGCTGAGGAAATAAAACTTTCAAAAAAGCAATTTTAAAATCTAAATTAAAATGTATGATTTCAAAGAAGATGGGATGTTATGGAAATGTTTGACTAACCTCTCGGGTTTGAACTGCTCCGCATCACCACCCCAAACACTGCTATCACGATGCAAACTCCAGGTATCGAATATGATTCCTAATCCTTTCCGGAAAGTACATGGACCTATCACACATTGCTGGACACAGACTCGCGACTGCAACCTGGAAAACAAAAGGATTTTGAACTGCAGTGATGACCCACTAATGCAATTCGATATCTTCGATGAAAGATGAATAAAAGTAAGAACTGTCTCCCAGGTACCTCATAATCTTACTGATTTCGATCCACCAAGTTTTGCTATGCTTCAATTCGGATCACAATTAAGCTTACTGATGTGAGAATGATGATTATGGTGGTTGGAAGCCTCTCTGATTCTTAATTCTCCACGAAAAATGGTGGGACCATCCTGAGGTGGTGAAGGAAATCAACACATAGAAACGGTGAATAAAGCTATCGCTGGCTTTTTATTCCGAGACAAATAAGCTGTGATGTGATAAAGTCAACTTCAAAAATGAATACATACATGGATGCGTGCGGGAAAAGTCGGAGCGTTTCCATGATCGCATAATGAAGATACTTCAGAAGTTGCACGCTTGCGAAAGTAATTTCATTTAGTGTTTCAACTTCGGCCCACAGTTTGTTTTGCTCGGCGGGATGATTGGCCAGCAAATAGGTTAAATAGGTTAATGTATTTGCTGTAGTGTCAAAGCCAGCTGAGGTCAGGAAGCGACACTGTGAAATGATTTCCTGGAACAAAGAGTCCAAACATGTAAATGAATGTGACCGGTCGGGTTGTCAAGTGCAGCTGTATCACAGTTTTCCAGTGTAAACGTGCTGGGCCCATAACCCAGAAGTAGATGAATCGAAATCACTCGCTGCTACCAATTAATTTATGCGAAATGTGTTTGTGACGGAGGATCTACGGGAACCAACTGCGGAACCAACCTGTAGACCCGTAAATCTACGGGAACCAAACTCAGCCAGATACGAAACGATTCCCGGGAAATTATACAAAGACGTGAAGAACGCAAGACGGCTCATGATATGAGTGGGACCCTGACTGGTAAGCCGGACTGCTTTTATACAGCGGGGGTTCCATTACTTGTGAGATGCACTCTATCATCGCAGCGGATCTTCGAGATCAGCTAATGCGATCCTGGGGAAGACTTTTATTGGGAAAGGGAACATTTGGAGGAGATATCACGGTGGGAATGGATCCCGATAGGTATTTTGTTTTCCTTCCCACTTTCCCTTCGTTTTTCCTTTTTTTTTGACTTTTCTAGAATAAATTATTTTATTTTAACCCTCTCTCTGCCTTCGGACTGGAAGACAGGGGAAATTTAGGTTTTCCTTTACTCTGCATTTTCCTTTATAAACGCATTTTTCATCACTATCCGGGCGTTTTTAAACCGGCGGTTGATAAATATAAATATATTTAGTCCGCTTTCTGCAAAATACATGTAATCAATAATAAGTAAAAAAAAACATTTATAAGACAACTTGCCTTATATTTTGATGTAAGATAAATACATTTAATCAATAATTAATAAGCAGAAAAAAGATCGAAAAAATTTCCATAAATTTCATTAAAAAATTCTGACAAATATTATAATGTCCAAACATATGAAATAGCGAATCTGGCACTAGCTTGCTTACAAGTGATCTTCTGAATAGACAAGGCCGTAAACATGCTGTTGGCATGTACTACCGCTCAGACTATTTTTGAATGCGTCCGCTTTAATATTAGTAAATTTTTACTTACTGATTGGTATTCGAAAGTTTCTAACGATGTTTTTCAGTACACTTGTCAGCTGTCTTTTCATTCTGTGACAAACCTATATTTTACGAAAGAAACTGACAGCTTCTCAATGACTGTTTTAACCAAAAAAACGCAACTTGGTGGAAGCAGACACTGACATTCGCACCATCCCGCCTCCCCCTTCCACTCCTCCCCGCATTGTTTTTCGGCCCAGCAAAAGATATATCAATCCGTATTACTTTAACCTATTTGGTAGTTCAACGATGATCTCCCATTATCTTTGCCCACCGCACATAGAAAGAAGTAGTATACCTAATTTGAACTAACAGTGATCACCCAGCGGTGATCTTCTGTTATCTTTACCCATCGTAAACAGGAAGAAGTAGTACACCTAAAGTTCCAAAGACCCCAGTACCTCAAGTAGTACACCTAAAGTTCCAAAGACCCCAATAGCCGGAGCGAAATTTTGCTACACAGAAAGGGCATATTTACAGCACAGGGTGGCAAAGATTGCGCCAATTCTAGCCATAATTACTGATGGGTGATACTGGAAAGCTAGTACGCAGCGCAAAGAACAGAAGAGCGCAAAAATTACTCAAGTAGAGTTAATTTAAAATCATTCAACGAAACAAATTCTTGACATGAGACTACGTTCGTTCAAAAATTCACGAAACATTTAAAAGGTGTCCATGGAGTCATGTCGAAAAGTTAAACAGGCCTGCGCTTATACGATTTTTTAGCGTTACCCTTTCAGAGCAGTGCCCAAACAACAAACCGTAACTAATATATCCACTATACATCAGTTTTTGAGAACCTGTTCAATGGTATAGTGTAGAAACTTACTTCTTGTGTAAGCTTGGGGATTATTTTCAGCGTAGAAACATAGCATGGCCCATCCGCCTCAGCCGCCCATTCCTTCCACTCCTTATCCTCCATCCTCTTCATTATATGTAGAAAATCGGTATGACCCTGAATCGAAACAGCTGTTTTCGAAAGCAAATAAAAAGCAAAACATGCAAAAAATCTGGCATTTGAAAGCATTTTCCGTAATCCTCCTAAACATTTTGAAATATTCTATTTTAATTTACAATAATTCATACCAATTCACAGTTAAAAGTCAAAACTCTTCTTCCACATTCACCGTCTGTGATAGGTGGAGGAGCTTGCGAAGTAGCCCGACTGGTACTAAATGTCAGCAGCAACTACTCAGTTAGTAATTCTGCTAGTTACTCTTTCTTTTGAAGGTTACTTAGAAGCAAGCTGGCGGCAGGCTTGATTCTCTAAGAATCCTGGCGGAATCAAACTTTCAGGATTCTGAGAAAATTAAAATAAAATTCATTATATTCACTATACCTCGGTTGTTAAGAACTGTCAATTAAAAGAAACTGTCAGGCAATAATTAAAAGGAAATACAGGAAGTTTGAAGTGTCAGAGCACTGCTATATTTTTTTAAAAATAAATGTATAATTAACATGTATTATAAAAAGCAGAACTGTGCTTTAGCTTTTGCGATAGCCAGTCAAAGAGTTTCAGACAGCATAAGCCTTGCCTCATTGCCGATTCGCTCTGAAACGGTGCGCTGAAGATGGCGCGTATAGCTGATAATAGGATCAGTTGCAAGATGAAATGCCGAACAAAAGCATGAACATATCGCCTGATAAGCAGACAGTAGCCATTTCAATTCCGGCATGCACCCTGAGATGGATGAATAAATACATCTACCATAGAAAATGATCCGACGATTGAGAATTTTCCGAACGATGAGGGAGCAGGAAGAGATGCGGGTGGGGGAAGGGTGGAGGAGGGGTTGATTTGGATGAATTTGAATTTAAATTTGTCTTGCAATTATAAGACTGAAAAAGGGATAATACGCATTCATAGAGAGGGTTCCAAGACGTCCACGATCTGAGTTACCATCCAGAGAACTGTGGGTTCGTAGCGTTTCCTCATGTAATGTATGAATCTGATATATTTTTATCAGCGATTAGTCATAAGCGCACTTCAAATTCGCGCGCATCAATGGAACGACTAAAGAATAAAGACCCTGCTAATGGATGATAAAGCAGCGGTCATTTGTGCTTTATCATTCAACTCCTCCTCACCCTAGTCGTTATCCTTGGTCACGATTTCACATTGATTTTCGACATCACCAGCTATTTTTGGCATATAAGTAGCTTAAATTTTATGCTCATTTTCTTCATCAGATTTACTTTCCACATTCTCCTTCCTACTCGGCTACAATGCAAGAAAAAAAATAAATAAAACGCCATTTGGTTAGCTCTTCTCACTCGCTCTGTCCTCTCTTCAATAAAACTCACATGTGAACAGGAAACTGATATGAAAACGTTGCGGTGGGCTAAATTTTTCCAGCAAAAGTTTCAAATTTAGATCATCGTGCTGGCAACTTTGTGCACGACCCAAGCAACATCGTGTTATCACATCGAAGGTAAGCCGCTGAAAATAACTAAAACAAGACGGATGAAAGCAGTGAAATGGAAGAAAACTGGTTCTACGATTCAAATTCCTTCCTACCTTTCCAAGAATTTCCAGCAGCTCGCTGTAATAATCCTTTTCTAATCTATCTCGCTAAGAAGCAGAGAGCTTATTCTTTAAATGTTTTTCTAGCTACTCCCAGTTTTTAGCAAAACAACATATGTAGCATGCCAAAGTTCACGTCCAAAATGGAGGCTAGCCACTAGCTATTTTCTGCTCAGCCATGCACAATTAAGCACCTAAATTGCTAGACGTAGTGTCTTTAAACCCGATCGCTTATTCGCTGATAAAATTTAACAACTTCGAATTGATTTTCTTCCCCTAATCAAATAAATTTTTGCCTCTTGAATTTAACTTATCAGTCCATTTGTAGGTTTTGCCAATCGATGCAGCACTGGTAACGATGATGTGAAAACTACCCCGAAATTGTCAATCAAAATAATAACGAAAATAATTACGGATGAAGCTCGAGCTGCTTCGATTGCTGAATTTCCGTATCTAAATCGATAATGAATCGGTCCGCCGAATCCTTTATAATTCCAAAAAGCTGCAAAGAAACGATTGATCTGACTGTGAAGAAAAATGGAGATTTTTGGGAGAAAGGTACTGCGAAATTTAAGAGAGGCACTGAGAGCGGTGATAGGTATTTAGAACTTTGAAGTGAAAGAACAGAAACTAATCATTTTCCTTTACGCAGAATTTACGACACTGAATGCACAAATTAATTGTAAAGCAACAACCACTTATACTGTTGATAACTCAACTGCTTCAAGTTCAGTGCAAAAACACACGATCATACCAGGACACCTGGTATGTCGTCAGATTTTTCGACGCAATTATGCGCTTTTGAACTAACCTCGAAGTAATCAAGTCATTAGGACAGAAATTTGAAAATTACTTTTATTTCTATAGAACACGTGTACTGCAAAAATGCAACTGCACTTAGCTGACATATGTAATAAATCAGCTGACACTGCTGTCAGTTTTCACGGAGGGCATAGGAGTTTCGCAAAGATGCCCTTGCCCGGGGGGGGGGGGGGGGGGG